TGACCCGGCTCCGGGAGCGAAGGCCGCGGCCAAAGTGGCCCAGACGCGAACGTGGCTCCTTTGCCTAACTTGGGGCTTGGGACGTGTGGCTTAGCTCGCTGGCGCCGCGCGCTTGGGCGATCGCCCGACGGGAAACCCGAGCTTCCCGGCTCTTGACTCCGGGACTATGTTTAGTTTCTAACGTAAACTTGCCCGATTCAAGAGGATTTGCGTAAAAACCCAGCCCGGAGTCCTCGCCCCGCCCCACTGCTGCAGCTGTTGTCGCAGCTGCGGAGCTACGTTTAGTAGGAAGAATTAACTTAAATTAACTTCCGCAGCTCGGTATCCATTTCTGTAATTAGAATTATAATACACACACACACACACACACACACACACACACACACACACACACACACACAAAAGCGGGGGTCGGGGGGGTTAGCTTGCGACTTGAGGAAAAACTCCAAAACGCAACACCGTGTTCCTTCGGAGTGGAGACTTTGGACTAAGTCACTTTGCCAGTGTTAACTTTTGAGCATATGAAAACACAAATTAGTTCTTTACAGAACTTTGGAACAGAAATAGGTGTTCGGTTGAGAATTTAACAAGTGCAAACATTTTTATATCCAAAGGTAAAGGAAGTGTTTCTGAAAATTGCTATTATTTGTTTCATGTCCTGGGAGGCTTTTGATAAAACTTAACCAGAAAAACGTTTTCTTTTCAAACGTGAGGCTTTACTGGCAAGTCAACCCCAACAACGAATTGCCTTTGTCAAGTGCCGAGAACTTTTTGGGTGTGGCGGTCTTAAAAAATCTAACCCTGCCGTCAACCGGAAGTGTGCACAGGAATTGAAAACTTGGTTTAGTTGGAACAGAAGCACCAACTTGAAAATGTACTTTTAAAAAACTGTGCTGGCATCAAAAATATTACATATAGTTAGCTTGAAAAAAGGTGCACTGATTAAATTATTTGGTCTGTATTTGGGAAGCTGGCCAAATACTAGGAAGTGTTTCTAAGATGGGAGTTTTTCCTTAAAGAATAGATCATATCTCCCACAATACTGTCAATTTGAGTGGTGATTCTGTAGAAAAAGTCGTAGGTTATCTTACATTTATTATCACTTTAAAAGTGTTGGACTCTAGGATTCTACCTAGAGTAACCTAATGTAATATCACTATGGATTAATCTTATTTTATAAATGAAACCATAGTATGGAGAGATTTTGAAAAATCTTCTGGTTTGCCGTTGGTGTGTGGGGAAATCCTCTGAGGATTTTTATTTTTCACTTATACCATTTAATCTAGGCTAACATCTTCCTTACATGTATTTCTCCTTTTGTCATAACCCTAAATGATTTTCTATTTAATCAAGCAAAAATAAATAAATAAAATAAATGAAACGACAAAGTCATTGTCACCAACACTCCACTCACTCCCTTGATTTAAAACATTCTGCTCCTTTAGATCTGTACACTGAATCTCCTTGACCTTTGTTGACTGTTTTATTGACTTGCTCATGCATCTGAAATCTTTATGTATTTCATAGAAAGAAGCGTGCTCTGCAAGTCACCCTGTTTTTAAGTTTCATACAACACATATGCCTTCACACCAAAGATCTTCCATTAAATGCTTGAAAAATAGACTCTAGAATGAGTGAGGGTCCTCATAATTTGGAATTCTGAGGTGCCTACGTGGTAATCTTCCCATCCTAAATAAAGAATACCTACATTGCTATATGAAATATTTTCATTTTACCCCAGATTTCTAAATTTCTTTGAGAATTGTGCATTTTCTGAGGTCTTGTTAAAATAAGACAGTTACAGTCTTAATTGTTTGGGGAAAGTGAAAATGGACAGAAAAGTTAGTCATAGCAAGGAATATAATGACAATATCATACATAATTTGCTCCTTGGGATCATAGCACAGTTCCTGATTTGGCTCCCTCTCCACCAGTGTTTATTCCACCCCATACTTTTAGTTTGGTAGGAAAAAAATACACTGACTTTCCTTGTTTTGGAACAACTAGCTGTGAAGCTAAACTCCCTATCCTTGAAAGGCCCAGGATTTCTGGTGGGAGATAAATGCATAGAACAGACTATAACCTCCTTGAAAAGGTAGTAACTTGCCCAATTTACACTACCAATGTTTGGTAGAATTAAGACTAACATCTGCATCTCTTAATTTTAATAATGTCTTGTAGCTTCTAAGTGGAACAGGGTTTTTCAGGGTCTTCTTAACCCCTCTCTGAGTCTTTTAGAAACAAAGATCTTATCTGAACTCACAGTATTTGATAATCATGTACCACCTTTGAGTTATTTTTCATTATTGTCACACATTGTTTTGAGAGTCATACTTCTGGAATGAAAACTATGTGACTCATTTCATAAGTTGAACCAATCATTTATTTCTTTATAGTTGCCTCCCCAACGGAATTTTAGGCTCCTTGAAGATAGGACACTTGCTTTTATTTCTTAATTCTTAAATAGTTTTCAACATTAGTGACATTTGATGAACATTATTGCCATTAACTGATTATATTAAAGCAGTGGTTCTCAACCTTCTGGCCCTTTAAATACAGTTCCTCATGTTGTGACCCAACCATAAAATTATTTTTGTTGCTACTTCATAACTGTAATGTTGCTACTGTTATGAATTGTAATGTAAATATCTGATATGCAGGATGGTCTTAGGCGACCCCTGTGAAAGGGTCGTTCGACTGCCAAAAGGGTCGCGACCCACAGGTTGAGAACCGCTGTATTAAAGGTTGATGATAAATATTGAATGAGCTAAAGAAAAATTCTAGGTAAGGTCACTGTCGGTGCTGACCCAAAAAACTTTATAATTTTAAAAAAACTGTAACTCATTTACAGACTTAAAGAATGCATGATTAAAAGAAAGACTAATAGGAAATACATTAGAACTCAACATATGTGTATTACTTTATAACCCAAATTAAATATTTTTTAAAAGTACTTAGAGCCCCCCCCCCTCCACCAGATACAATATGAGGTTTTGTAGATTCAAAAATCAGTTGTCAACCATTTGACTTATAATTCTCATCAGTTTCTTTGGTCTTATAATAACTGACATTCCTGCATCATTAGAGGAAGACAATGTTGTCAAACAAAACAGACTATTTTTAAACATGTGCTTTGGTTTGCAATGACATGGCATGCCTAAAATAATAAACAGATTTGCACTGGTAAATATGTGCCACTCATCGGGTTTCAACCACTTACCCTAAGTCCCTCAGAACATTTAAGAGATGACGGGATAATATACTCCATACTTCTTGTAGTTTTTAAAACTACATTCAGAATAGAGGGGAAAATTACAGCTTTGTGTAGTTAATAATGGAATTTACTATCCAGAGAAGGTGTTACAGCATGAAAATAATGCTTTCGTGAATGGTTTAGGTAAATTATGAAAGACAGTCTCCTAAAGGGTGATTAAAGGAAACTTGGAAATTGGGAAAGAGTATGTATCATAATTTCAGTGTCACGGAAGGTATATCTTACCAACAACACATTCCAGTGTTTCTCTACAGGGTGCTGTATTGGATGGACTAGAATTTGTGACTTTTCTTTGTGGAATTTCCTACTAAAATCTAAGAACAGATTTAGCTTGGGGGAGGGGAAACTAAGGCAGAGCTTTTCTAATTATTCCCATGATTGAATTTAGTCTGGAAGATGTGGTATAACCAAGGAAAGAATGTAAGAAATAACTTCAAACTCACACAAAGCATTGTGTCCTAAGGTCACTTTGCAGTGCTGAGATCTAGGTAGTGCTTCATTCTTTGCAACCCACAGACTTATTTTTAGATCAAGGGCATAGTGTTTTGCTACATCATAGCTAAATGTTGTTTTCAGAACGTAAGCTTTAAAATTGTTATCCTGGTCAGAGAATGAAATCAGTGGTGCCTATTTTAGACCTGCGTGGAAGAATATAACTCAATACAGTGTCTTAGTCTTGCTCATTAGAGGTTTTGCAGACTACTGTCACCACATCAGCTCTGAAGGATGGTACGGTAACATTTTATCTGATGATGATGGGATTTTTAACTCCAACTAAAACTTTATAGTGTTTTTTTTTTTTTAAGATTCAGCCTTTTCATTTTAGGTATGAGATATTCTTCTTGCTTTTAACTTAAATTTTATAGGGATAAATTTAGATTATTAGAAAAGATAGTTTCCAAACTTAAAAGAAAAACTAAATTAGTTTTAAAAACTACTGTGCTCTGATTTTTGTATAGAGAACTTAGTCACTTCAAGCTTGACTCTGTGCAAGAAATTGTGGAAATATCAGTAAAACTTAATTATAGATTAATTAACTTCAGAGTTTTCTATACTTTTCAGTTAGCCTTTCAACAAATATCTTTCTTTTTTTAAAATATATTTTTATTGATTTCAGAGAGGAAGGGAGAGGGAGAGAGAGAAAAACATCAATGATGAGAGAGAATCATTGATTGGCTGCCTCCTGCATGCCCCCAACTGGGGACCGAGCCCGCAACCTCCGCAACCTGGGCATACTTGCTTGACCGGAATTGAACCTGGGACCCTTCAGTCCTCAGGCCGACGCTCTATCCATTGAGCCAAACTGGCTAGGCAACAAATAACTTTCTTGACAAAGATTCCAGAAGTAAGGGTGCAGTAAGAAATGCTAGTTACTTTCTAAAAAAAAAAAGAAAAGAAAAGAAATGCTAGTTAGAAGTGAAAACAATATTTGGCAATAATAAAGATTAAGAGATGAAGTCGTGTTCCATCAGTTAGTCATCCTCCTACTTTCTGTCCACTTTAGAATGGAATAACTAGTATAGGCTAGGGCTGTAGAAAGATTCACCTATTGAAAATGAATTAGTATTCCTCAATAGTTCCAAGTCACTGAAGTATAGAACTGGAACTGCTTCCCCAGGGTACCTACATTCTTTTGTATCTTGTTTCTATATTGCTATTAAACCAATAGATTTGGTTATCAGTTCTTATTAGGCTGTAAAGCAACATGGGGATATGCAATCTTGTTGATAAGCTCTAGGATTTGAATTAATGTTGGTTATAGTTTGGAAGTTAAAGTTAGTGATCAACTATTGATTAAATGTCACAACTGCTAAATGAATGAACTCAAAGCATGATTCTGGTTGTTCTCTTTGTAGTTTGGTTCCATGAGTAATGGTATCTATTAACTGAGAGATATTTTTGCCAAGTGATACTATCCTGCTGAATAATTTTTAGACACATTCTAAGTAGCTTAAACATATAAGGAACGTTCATTTCACCTTTTGTTGTTCTTTGTCTCCTTATATTTCCTTTCCTAATTAGGAACTAACCACCACCATGTCGAGCAAAAGGGCAAAGACCAAGACCACCAAGAAGCGCCCCCAGCGCGCAACATCCAATGTGTTCGCCATGTTTGACCAGTCACAGATTCAGGAGTTTAAAGAGGCCTTCAACATGATTGATCAGAACAGAGATGGTTTCATTGACAAGGAAGATTTGCATGATATGCTTGCCTCCCTGGGTAATGATCAGTTTTAATATTAATATACTAGACTAGAGGCCCGATGCATGAAACTCGTGCAAGGGCCTTGGCCCTGTTGCCGCCACAGCCAGGGCCTCTGCCGCCTCTGCCTCAGCCCCCGCCCCTGCCTGCTGCAGCTTTGTCCGGAGGGAAGGACATCCAGAAGGACGGCTGGTCTAATTAGCATATTACGCTTTTATTATTATAGATAGGATTTTTGTAATGTCTTTTATGTTTATTTCTTAAGTCTTAAAGTTCTATGAAGCCAATCTAATGATGTTATAGTTTACTAAATAAGATTCAAAGTCTAGAGCAGTGTCTCCCAAAGTGTGGTCCTTGGACCACCTGCAAATTTCTGGCCAGATCTCATGATTGGGCTAGAGGCCAGCTATTTTTGTGTGTATTGCAAGGACTGATCTTGATTATGAGAGCAGTATCATTCCTTTTGATATTACAATGGAATAGAATATAATCTCCACTCTTAATATAGGCCCTGTTCATTAAGAAGACTGTTTTCCTAATAGTTTTGCTATCATGAATGTAAATAGCAAATTATATAAATGGTAAGTCTTTTTTTGTCAAAATGTTTCCTCTGATGAATAGGTGATACATTTTGTGATGTAATCAGAATTATGGCCCTCTTTTTTTATTTAGGAAAAAATCCAACTGATGAGTATCTAGATGCCATGATGAATGAGGCTCCGGGTCCCATAAATTTTACCATGTTCCTCACGATGTTTGGTGAGAAGTTAAATGGCACAGATCCAGAAGATGTCATCAGAAATGCTTTTGCTTGCTTTGATGAAGAAGCAACTGGTAATTACCATGATTTAATTTTTAGTTATGGTAACTAAAATATATAACTTGAAATATGATGACACAATACTCTCAGGTTTATACCATACCTGTTTGTTCAGTTTTGTTTTAGATAGGCTTCTCCTATGGCATCACTCAATTTACTGCCTCTGCATTTAAATATTTGATTTAAAATTTAATGGGTATATTTGAAAGTTTTTAGTAAAGTTATACTCCATAAGGGTTAGGCTCGAAGTAAATATGTATTGAATGAATAACTTTTACCAGTGCAATCTTGGGTAAAGTGTAAATTGCTATAGGCCATGACACCAGTACAGTCCTATGTTTGTTTATCAGGTACCGTTCAGTTCTGAGATTGTTTAAATCTGGTATAAAACTCTCTGGTTTCATATTCCTTTTCTGCATAATAACTGTGTGAGTTGGGGCAAGTTATGTAACTATCTAAATCTCTGTTTTCTTATTTATAAAATGGGCAATAATATTACCTACCTCACAGGGTTGTTGTGAGGATTAAATGAGAAAATGAGACAATAGCATACTGCCTGGCCCAGAGTTAACTCTCAGAAAAACCCAAAAAGATAACTACAGAAATGCCCGATCCTTTGACAGAAGTGTATATAAAGATAAGAGGGCAAGTTTTTAAAAGGAAGGCACACCCTTTGGTTATGCATTACTTGGAGTAGTTTACCAGTAAATAAGCCAAGCACAGTTTGGTAATGGAAGCATACTGTCCCCACTTTGGCTTTCCAGGCTCCCCACAATATGGCCTCTTTTGGCCTATTCAAGTATACCACTCTTGACTTTTATATCATCTTTCTAACCTCCTTCCAAGCTACTCTATGCATTGGTGTCCTAACTTACCTCCACCATTTCTGCCTCTATGTCTCCCTCATCATACCACCTCTCCCTCCTCCTGAACTCGAAACTCTTAACTTTTTTTTCTGGGAGGACTGGGGAAGAGGCAGGCAGAGGAGACTTGCTTTTTTTTCTCCAAAAGACACTTGTGTATTGATTGAATTTTTAAATTGTAAGCAGGTGTTAGTTTTTTTAATGGAGGGGAATAAAACCATAAAAGAGTAAAATGTCTTATCCATTCTTCAAACTCCTCAATTGTCATATTCTTTATAGAGCTTAGTCTATATTTCCCTACTATTTTTTCCTACTCAGAAAATTTAAAGTCTCTTTCTTTTTTTCTTTTTTTTAAATATATTTTTATTGATTTCAGAGAGGCAGGGAGAAGGAGAGAGAGATAGAAACATCAATGATGAGAGAGAATCATTGATTGGCTGCCTCCTGCATGCCCCCTACTGGGGATCGAGCCTGCAACCCTGGGCATGTACTCTTGACCAGAATAGAACCTGGGACCCTTTGGTCCGCAGGTCAACGCTCTATCCACTGAGCCAAACCAGCTAGGGCAGCTTTCCTTTCTTTCCACTTCCAAATAATTTTATTTATCTCTCTTCTGATACATACTGTGTGTACTTACTTCCAATCATCACAGTCTCTCCCTGTTTCCAGGGTAATGGCTGTGTGTCTTCAACGGCATTATTTTCCCATCTCTGTCAGCCCTTCTACCACCCACCACAGTCCATTACACATAGTCAATGATTAGTTCATGTGATAGTTGAATGACTTGGCTATAGATGATGATTTATTTCTACAAGCTGAAAATCTAAGATTTTTGGTACTTGTTTTTTTATCCTCACCCAAGGATAATATATTTCCTATAAAATTAGTTTAAATTATAAGGTCACTTCCCATAAGAAACTCTAGAGCTATGGTTCTTGTTGTTGTTTTTCCAATTCAATCCGAGATTTAAAAAAAAAAAAAAAATAGCCCTGGCCAAGTGGCTCAGTTGGTTGGAGTGTTGTCCCATACACAAAATGGTAGCGGGTTCAGTTCCCAGACTGGGCACATACCCAGGTTTCAGGTTCGATCCCTGGTCCAGGTGTGTGTGTGGGAGGCAACCAATCGATGTTTCTCACATTGATGTCTTTCTCCCTCTCTCCCACTCCCTCCCTTCCTCTCTCTTAAAATCAATTTTAAAAAATAAAAATATCAATGACAGATAATAAATCAAGAGAGACATCAGGACTTTTTTTTTTTTTTTTTTAAGCTCTCTGGATGATTCTGATTGTCATGTGCAGTTAGGTTTTATGAGAAACCTGCTTTCACACTTCCAGAGTAGAAAGCACATCTTTTGGCTCACCACTCCCATCCCCAATTCTTAGCCCAGTGACTGTGACATAATTAATGCTCAAACATTTACTCAGTATTTTTGCACACTCTGGGCCTGGCCATATTTGTTATGAAATCTAAATTAGATTTGTTTAAAAAAAAACCCAAACATTTAAGAATCTCATTTTACATATTAAAAAACAAAGTCAGAGGTAAAGTGAAATATCTGAAATAACATAGCTTGTTAGAACTGGACCTCAAGACTCCAGCATTTTTTCCACTGAAGCACTTTATTGATTTTATAATGTGGTATTGATTTTAATGTTATTTACTTATAGAATAAGTATGACCATTCATGCTACTTTAAAGAACTATAAGGCATAGATTCCTTAATCATACTATATTGCTTTTATTTAGGCATCAGTTTAGCCCCTATTATCAAGAGATCAGGAGATGAATGTGGAGGAAGATTGATAGAGCAGAGCAGGTTAATGCCAATAGGCAACTACCCGTTTTCTAGGCAACTGCTGAGGCTGACTTAACCATGTAGAGACCCTTATTTCATGTATGTGCATATTTATAGTTCTTAGCATAGAGCATGCATAGTCAAGTGTAGATGCTCCTTGTAATTAATCCTCAGAGTAGTATATATTCTGAACCCCAGTTCTTTATTTTTTAGGCACCATTCAGGAAGATTACCTGAGAGAGCTGCTGACAACAATGGGAGATCGGTTTACAGATGAGGAAGTGGATGAGCTGTACAGAGAAGCGCCTATTGACAAAAAGGGAAATTTCAATTACATTGAGTTCACACGCATCCTTAAACATGGAGCAAAAGATAAAGATGACTGAAAAGAACTCCAAATTGCAGCCAAATGTTCTATGTCGCCACATTGGGTATTTCTGAGACTTTCTCTTAGAGTCCATAACATGCCCTAGCTTTGCAGCTTTTGCCTTTCTTGTGGTATTTATTCTCAGCCATTTTGGGCACAGCCATCTCTATAATCAGACTGGAAGTAGGACTCTTTGTTATTTTCAGAATAGAAAATAGGTAATTGAACTTACCAGCCTCCCCCACCCCCCTATAACTGCAATCTACACAGAGTCAGTATATTTTTTCAGAGAAAGTAATTCACTCAATTTTTTTCTGAACCATAATTAAATTTTATGATCAAAACTTACTTGTTTAAACTTCTTTATTTATCAAAATTGACTTTTATTCGTTTTAGTTGCATCTTCCAATGAAAGGTAGATGAGGCAAAAACCTAGAAAATGGTGTGGTTGTTTGACCTTTTCCTTACTTTTACCAGTTTTCCTAACAATCCTATCTCCTCTGCTATTCATTCGTCCCCTCCCAAAGAAATACAAGTTTAACTGCCTTAATTGTGTTTCCTGCACTTTGTCTTCCAATTTTAAAAATAATTTGCTATAGGATTTGCATATATATGATAGTTTTAGTAGCTTTAAATCCTTAAGTTTAACATACCTACCAATGTTCCTCCTTATCTGTCCTAAGCTTTTCGTGTCATTTAAAATTAGACCAGGCCAATAAGTTTAATTTTAATTTGTCCTCATTTTTAAAACTATTTTAGACTCAAAGTGTCTATGGAATGCTACTAACGAGATTTTTTTTATATATATATATTTCAAAATGTTGGAAATACAGTACAGCATTTTTTATTATATAAAACTTTTTTAAACACAGTAATGCATATTGAAATACCATGTTTGTTTATGCAGAGATTCACCATGAGTCCAAGTGTGAATTTTGGACATTCCTGCCCTGCCCACAAACAAAACAGCTGAAGCTAAGTGCTAGGGAAAGTGAGATCATTATTTCAATACTCAAAATAATTTCTGCTGTTTCCAGAAATGCAGGACTGTTTCAGAGTTAATCAGGAAATGGTTGACACTTTCATTTGCTTTGTACTTCAAAAAGCTGAAAGATTGATGAGTTTAAAAGTTGAAGCATTGTGGGGGGAGTTGGTTGAAAAATTTTACAATTAGCCTATAAAGATGAGTAATTGACAATTACTCTAATAACTTTACGTTTTATGCTACTATTAACCAAATTATCCTTGGACAAAATCATTACCTCACTCAATAAATAATTACTGAATGCCTTCAGGGTGGCAGACCTTTGCACTCAGCAAAATAGATGAGTCAGCTTTATAGAACAGGAGTAGAAGGACCAGTACCACGACTGCTCTTGCCCCTTTTAAGTTTAGAATCTTACCACCTGCCTTAAGTACTTTTTCCAGGCTATAGCCATGATGTTAAAATCTTACTTTGCTGAATCGAATTTCCATTTCAACTGAAAAAAAAAATCACTTCTGCTTTAACAGATTTCTAGTGAAGAACAAGTAACATTGTTTTCACTTAGAAAAAAAGTGGTCTCATTTACTAAAATTATTTCCTACAATGCCCCCATTTCCATTTCAGATAACTGCTCAAAAAACTGGCTGCCATTAGGAGCAGTGCATGGTCTCCCCGAGTGAAATAAGTCTCCTCATTTAGTAATAGCATTCTCTATGTAGTAAGTAGGCTTTGCTTAAGGGAAGATGACTGCTTAATAAGAAGCTAAAGCATCTACTCCATCGGTGGAGTTGACTGAAAACCAGTCTCCATGATGAAAATCATACTTGAAACAAACCATTTCAAACGTTCTTTGAAACCAACCTAATAGGGGCAGCATTGTTAGGATTATATTGTCATTTGGACTCCAGATCCCAAATTTTACTTGATCCAGAAGCCTATGACTGGAGAGCAGGAATTGATGAGTGCTACTGGGAAAAAGGGAAGAAAGCCAGACTCTGAGACAAAAGCAAATTCTGAAAAGGAAAGGCAATGATTTTCTACAAAGTAGGAGAAAAAGGACAGCAAGAGGTGTAACACCTAGACTAAGGGAGATGCCGGCAAGTTGTAAGAATCAGAAAACAGTAAAAGGGCTTAAGAGAGGTAGAGCCACAAAACATGAAAACCATAAATTTAAAATTTAGTTCCTCAGTTACATTAAACACATTTGAGAAGGATATGCCATAAATAACCATTTCCCAAGTGCTAGATATTTAGATACTCAGCTTTTCATTAATCTTTTTCTTTTGAATCTTGAGAGGAAAAATATACCTTAAGTTATTTTTTTTTTTTTAGAACAGTGTTACCTAGTAGAACTTTCTGTGATAATGGTCAAGGTACAGTCAGGTTGTCTCAGCTATTAAGGTGGCCAGGGTGAGGATTTATGCAGCGGTAATAGACCATACTTAGAAGAGCAATAAGACAAAGACCTAAGAAGCCAAAATCTTATGTTTGGGGGGAAAATTATTTAAATTATTGGACCAAGAACAGAATGTAACTACGGAAAATCAAATATTTTAGAACCCAGGTATGACTTCTCTGCAGTTGCTTTTCAAATTTTATTGAGAAAATGCATTCAGTTAGGAACTGGACCTTGGGCTGGGACGAGGACCACAGCATCAGCATCCCCTGAAAATACAAATTATCACCTCACCCTCCACCTACTGAATCTGAATCTCTGGGGCTGGGGCTCAAGAATCTTCTACCAGGCCCTCCAGGTTTTTCTTACGCATGCTCCTGTTTAAGAACTGCTGTATAGAGCGCCGAACACAGTGTCTAACATCTAGGAATTTCTGATCAAACATTTCTAGAATATAAATGAGTTATTCATCTCCCCAGCATCAGCACGCATTCAGGCAATCCCAAGTGCTCCATAAAGGTTTGCTGTTAAGCTGCCGATCCTCCCTTCAGAAATAGTGCTGTCCATCTTCTTCCAGCCGAGGGAACTGACGGCCAGCGCCACAAGCAGGAACCGGAACAAAACGTGAATAATGTAGCTTCGCGGGTTCCTTTTCGGCCAAGAGCATTAAGTAATGTGTCTGCGCGACTGTATGCGTGTGTGTTTCTGACATCTCCTTAATGACCCAAAGGAAAGCAAGTAATTTGAATAAAACCTTCTTGTGGTTGGAAAGGGACTGGAACTGCGGTCCCTGTCCTGGCACCGGAAACCTTACAATCTGAGGGTAAGAAAAAGGGAGCCAATGATGCGTCGGATTGGAGTGCAGTTTAAAAGGTTTGCCAGCGGACAGGAGTCCGCGCCCCTTTCCCTTCCCCGGTGTTCCGTGGGACATACCTAAAAAATTACGTGTTTTACCTGAAGTTCAGATTTAACTAGACCCGCTGTGCTTCCACTCGTTGACCGTGGCAGCCCGGGTGGGCGGTTTCCGACCCCCGGGAACCCCTAACCCTGAGG